CTTTCTCCACTAGTATCTCAAATGTCAACATAGCATTGTCTTGTGAGCAAAAAACTCCTAACCAAGAAGATACGATTTCTACAGGAGGCATTAGCGGTATTGGCGGAATTTTTCCAATGGAGCGGGGAAAACTGTCTCCTTCGTCTACAAAGAGCCAAGATCCAATTATGACTAAATCGATGTCTATCAAAGAACTATCAGAGGAAGATGAAGAGAATGCAATGATACAATCATCTAACTCAGAAGAAGGGAATAAATTTGAACCTACAAATATGAAAGCATTAAACGAATGTCAAACTGTAGGGTCTAAGTCATCTTTGTCATTGCCAAACGAAAATGTGATTAGTGCGAGTGCAAATAATAGTAACAAATTGGAAGCTGGCGGCAATATGTCTGTCAACACAAACTGCATCGCTTTAACAAACTTAACAGCACCTTCATCAACAACAACTAACAGTTTACTGGTTACTGATGGACCAGAAAGAATACGACGAAAACTTTCTGTACAAGGTACGGACTAACAAAAACTTAAGAACCAAATATTGTTTATTACAAATATTGAAAATTATCCAAGCACTTTTTAAAATATTTTGAATAATTCGTCAAGAGCCGATATTTATTGTATTTTTTGCAGGTCTTATCTCTTTTGCGGACAGAAGGCGCTCCTCCGGCGCTTTTATAGATGGTCGCAAAATGTCTATACACAGCGGTGAAAGTTTTCGTAGTCACAGCGGTAAGCTTTGACAAAATATCCAGTAATGAAATACACGTGTATAAAATATAATTTAGTATTTAGACCCCTTAGGTTCAAACGAGATTTTGAAAGGAAGTATAAAATATTGTGAAACCTCTTAATTTCTTTTATTAATGAATGTGTTTAATTGCACCGAATTTTTTAATAATTTTTTTTTAATTTTACTTATTAAATATATTACATGACAACTTTTCCTAATTTCAGGTCATGTTAATCGTAATCGCCCATCGTCCAAAATGACTAAATATGTGGAATGTTGGGGTGCAGATAAACCGTTTGCCAACATTGCGGAATCGAAACTTGTTAAAAACATAGGACTTGCGGTAAGTGTGATTGCCGTGATTTAAGGCTCGCTTTTAAATGTTTTTATTTACAGAGCATTGCTATGATTGAATCCAATCTGCTGCCACCGGAACGTAAATGCTTCAATTTCAATTTGTTCGGACCCCCTACGGAATTAAAACCGTTCACATTATGGTATCGCAACTCTCCGCGTGAAGCAATGTATCGTTCGCAACCAGATACACATTTTCGTTTCGATTTAATTTGCGCATTTGTTCTTTACCTCTCGATTGCATTAATTCAACTAATTGTATTTGAGAAGTTAGTGTTATTGCATATTTAATGAAAATTTAAAAATATGCATGTACTTTATTTTTCAGAAATATTGCTTTGATTGGCTCTCTGACTGCTAGTTTTATATCACTCGCTCTTTTCCTGTACCTAAGCAATATCCAAGTTCCCGAAATCAATGCATCAACAACAAATCGCAATGGACCAGGTCAAGTGGTGGCAAGTAGTCGATATATTCGCCTTGCTATTTTCATTATAGTAAATATATTAATATCAGTGACTGCAGTGTTCAATGTGGTAAGTAATGCCCATTTAAATTAAGTATATAATATTTACTTACACATAAATGTTTTAATGACCAGAAAATCACAATAATAACTTTTAATTTTAATTGGTAGATAAACTTTGTAAATAACGAGAATCTTGAGTCGATAAATGTTGAAAGTAATGTTAACACCTCATCCGTGTTGACACCCAATGATACATCTGTGTCAGGTGTTATGTATACTAATCTACAAGAGAATGCATATAATTTAAATCAAATAGAAAATGCACCAACTTATTTGTTGTGCTCCGCTATCAGCCTAGCGGCGATATCTGCTTTTTTGCGTTCCGGCTTTATTCTTAAACTAATTACCATGGTTGCGGCACTCATCTGTCAGATAGTCATGCTGAGCTTTAGTGACCTCTATGCAATATATAATCGCCATCAACTGAACGCGTAAGTTGACAGACTCTTGTGCAAATATCTAAAACTTCCATATAAATTAAGCAATTATATAATACAAATGTGTATTTGCTTTAGTTTAACCATAGACCTGAAGGGATTCCTTTTATTGTTATTGGTGATTGCGGTGCTGCATACTCTCGATCGACAAGGTGAATATGTGGCTCGCACAGACTTTCTGTGGAAAGCAAAATTAAAAGTGGAGCAAGAAGAAGTGGAAACAATGCGAGGAATCAATAAAGTAAGTGAGCTATCTCTATAGGTTAAACAAAATGAGATCTATTATCGAATGCGTTTCAGATTCTTTTAGAAAATATTTTACCCGCTCACGTAGCCACACACTTCCTTCATCAGGAGCGGTCCACTGAGTTATATCACGAGAGCTATTCTTGTGTAGCTGTGATGTTTGCTTCTATACCAAATTATAAAGAATTTTATGACGAAACTGATGTTAATAAGCAAGGCCTTGAATGTTTACGTCTACTAAACGAAATTATATGTGACTTTGATAAGGTACATGTGTATGAGATTTTTATAAACATACATACATATATTCAAAATAGTAAGGATAGGTTGACTTTACGAAGAGACACAACTTTACTCCTCTATTATTTTCAGTTGCTTCTGAAGCCAAAATTTAGTGGAATCGAAAAAATCAAGACTATTGCAAGCACATACATGTGTGCATCTGGACTACGGCCAGGAAAAGAAGATGGTGCCATGGTAAGAAACAATCCCTGTTTTGAAATAATTAAATTCACACTTTAAGTTATGTCGCGTTACATAACCGGATTACATGTTCAGATTTATCAACCATTACATATATGTTCTTCCTATATCTTTTATTCAGCGGAAGCGGAATTTAGCCGTAAGTTTCTTGCCGCAAATTCTTATCGTATAAATAATGTTCTATAATTGTAGACAACTTTTAGTAGTACAATACACAATTTACATAATTAAAAAAATCAATAGCTTGTCAGTCCAAAGAGCCCTTTACAAAAAATTTAATTACAATACAATTTTAGAGTTATTCAGAAATTTTGGAAAACAATTGATTTTTATTGTGAGTATTGTTAATATAGAAAACAGTTATTTTTATCGATTTTATGGGTAAACTGTTATATTATTGCTAGCTGATATTCTTATTATCTTGTACGTTATATAAGTTTTTCTTTTGTTTTGTTAATGCAGTGCTATATTTATTTGTATATATATTTATTTTTATTTGCCAGGATGAGAAGCACACTGAAGAACACAATGTCACCATTCTTGTGGAATTTGCCATCGCTTTAATGTCAATATTGGATTCAATTAACCGTGAATCATTTCAAAGATTCCGACTACGCATTGGTCTGAACCATGGACCGGTGATTGCAGGTGTTATCGGCGCCCAAAAGCCCCAATATGACATCTGGAGCAATACTGTGAATGTGGCCTCCCGTATGGATTCCTGTGGCGTAATGGGAAGACTTCAGGTAATATGTTGATTATTTTTTTTAAATAAATAAAGGGCAATCACGTAAATAATAACTTCTACTCGACTTCGTCATATAGAATAAATAGAAATTTCRACGCATTTGCCTAATATTATATACTAGTTTTATTTACTTTTCTTCTTTATTCATTTGTGTGGTTTTATTGAACAGACGACAGAAAATACAGCAAAAGTTCTTATGGCTGCTGGTTATGAATGCGAATGCCGGGGTCTCACTTATGTTAAAGGAAAAGGCAATCTAGTCACTTATTTTGTTAAGACACAATTCGATGGAAAATTGTAAAAAGTATAAATAAAGAGCGGAAGAAACAAACCAATAAAACAAGCAGCGAACCCGTTAAAAATGCATGAAGCATTTTATAAAAAAGTGAAAGTACTAACTACTAAAACAAAATTAAAGGATTTACAATAAAGTTAACTAGGTCAAAAATGTATAAATATTTATGCTAACAGAAATAAGAACAGTAAAAATAGATTGTTATACTCGTATTTATTAAATACTCTAATTTTTCATACACACCCAATATGTTTAGGATAAGGTATATTAAACAAGATAGAAAAGAGAACTCTCTTGCATCTAACTATAATGTCCAAAATTTTTTAAATATAAATAAACCCTTGTGTGAGAGACAATGTTAGTTTTGGTTTATATTCTTACCTTTTTTGTAGAATATTGTAGAAAGTAAGCAGAAATTTACGCGTCCAAAAAATGTGAAAATATTGTGTGGCAGAAATGTTTCGCCTATAACGGGAAAGTTACTCATATTTCAAATATTTTTACATATGCTTGATGAACTGAAATACAATAAAAATTGCTTCACTTTACGTAGTTCGATTTTTATTAAAAATATGTTTTTATACAAGTAGAAAAAAAAAACTTGAACATTTTGGTCATTTTACATTATAGTTGATATTCAAGAGAGAGGTAAATAATAGTATTTTGTTTAAAACTATATATTTAATTAGTTACAAAGTTAATTGTGGAAAAATACTAAATATTACAAAATATTTGCACCTACGTTATCTAAACATCACCATAAGTCTGAGTTTTAAAAATATATTATTTTCTTATATTCCACTGGAAAGTAAAACAAAAATCATTAATTTTAATGAAATATATTGAAAAGTGAAAATATTGTGTTTTATTTCATTGCACAATTAGTTTAAAAGCTTAAAAGAAAGACGATCAAAACTTTGTTTTTATTTGTTTTTACTGCAGTCTCCCTCTTTATTTTTTAACTTTATTAAAATAATGATAGACAATTATTAAATGTATATTGTCGGTAATAGAAAATGTGTATGCATCACAAACGGCGTACTACACATGAAATAAAATAAGGAATAATACTTAAAAAAATATATACACGATGAACTATCTTCTTAAACATAAAATATCACGATGGAGTACGAGTTGAATTAAGGTTGAATACAGAATCAGAACAATTCTCTCCTTCCCATTAAAATTTTAACTACATTTGTTAAAAATGCGGCAAACATACTTTTCCTGCAAACAACTCCGATACCACTGTTATCCATAGAGCTAATACAAACAAAATATATGAAATTCCAATTTTGTAGGTATTAGGAAGTTGGTAAGCTTGACCACCGATCTCTTCCACATGGAAACCTAATGGAAGAACTACCGCAGCTAAGCAGAATAAAACCATAGCAGTAAAACCGACCCAACGGGCATATGGTATAACATTCCGATCCCAACTACTGGATGCCAAAAGTATTACAGTAGTGGTAATGCAAATACAACCTATGAATATGCAGACTAGCGCCACCAACCACTCTGGCTGTAGTTCAGGTGTATAACATACTTGTGATCGGTTATATAGCGTCATACAAGTCCACATTAATCCTAGACGTATATCACCTAAAGTGCAAGTGTCATAAAATTTTCTCATTTTTAATTCACATCCATCTACCTGCTTCTTCGGTTACAATCCAGTCAGGCATCGCCAAACTGACTATTGCAAAAACGTCAGCGGCAAGAAACAAAGTAGCACTAATCATTGTTAATTTATCCATTTTTGTCTTCAATTTTGTTTATAATCCACATAAAGTTGTCAAAATGAACTAGTCTCAGACACAGACGAATGTGTAGAAATATTTATTTTCAACCTGTCTCAGCTGTTTATTAGTGCTGCCACATTGTGTTAAGATAACAGTTCTTTTAAAAATATCCAGTAGGTGTCACCAAATAATGAATAGAGGGATGAATGAATAATGAATAGAAGCGCAAATGTTAGCTGTTCACAAATGCAAATTATACCAGGACCATCAAACCCATTGGTTTGAAAATACGAAAATCGAGTTACAGAATAGGGCCCCAGAAATAAAAGTAATTAAGAGAAATTTTTATAATGAGGGATTGATGAAAATGAAATCAAAATCAATTTAATTAAAAAGGAGTAAAGGTATATGTATTTGTGATAGGATTTGAACTTAGGCAAAATATTTGTTGGTAAGTTTCACTAAGGCAAGCAGCATCACAAAAACATTTAAACACAAAATACTTAAACAGTTATTGTTGTTGTGGTTGACTAGACGCAGAGAAGAAAGAGCGCAGTGCATAGTTCTAAACGATCACACTTTGCTTTGTAGCATACACGCACCCCTTAATTATTCAAATATTGTCTTGAGAAAAGAGCAACGCGGCAWCCACCATAACGTTCAAAGTTTTTTCTGTATTCCTTTGAGAAGCCAATGATGACTCCCCTCTAAATTTCTTTTCACGATTTTCTAAAAAGATTTCACAATATTTTTCTGGCGTTACTCCCCAATTTGCCTTTTTAACGAGGTGAATGTTGCTGTAGCGGCAGACTCTTGATAGAAAATTAGTTTTGTTAGTTAACTGTTTCATACATATGTTTAAGGTTATTTAAACCCGTCTGTGGACACAAAACTGTCTGCGGCTTTATAAGTTGCGGTTATAAATATTTTTGATCATTTTCCAATTACGACTTGTCGAAAGAAATCTTAAAACATTCGTATATATCACGAACTGCAAATAACAAAATGTGTACCTCTTAAATTTTATGTAGCAAGCTATAAAATTCAAATATTTTTTAGAATAATGCTAAATTTTCAAATAGCAGTAATTTATAGTTCTAATTATTTTAGCCAAGTTTTGATGATCAATATTTCAAGGATATATTTGTTTATTTTTCCTTTCCGAAATTATTACCCGAATTATTATTAACCACACACACGATCTTATATGTAAAATGCAAAATATTAATTAACCTAAGTTATCTAGCCGTAAAATTTTTAGGAAGATAGCAAAATTGAAATTTGATAATTATTCGAATACATTCTCTTCGTAGGAAATATATTTAATATGTATATATGTATGTAAGCATGTACGTGAGTTTGCCGAACGAAAAATTAAAATATTAGCAAAATATTATTTTACTTAAATTATATTTTAAGATACTCGAATAGTAATAAAATAGATGATTGCTGATCGGAAAACGGAAGGCTCCCAACTGAACTATAAATCCTATATTCGGAATCTTAAGAGCTTTCATCAGTCACATATATATAGCCTTGTTGTTGCAAGATATTTAAACGTTTCTCAACAGCATCACGATCTGGAATAAAACGAAAAATATTATCATAATTTGTATTTTAGCTTATTTCTACGATTTACATTTATTCAATAGCATTTTATCCTGAGGATGATTGCATTTTTGAACTAACGAATGTAGCAGTATATGTGCGGTGTTATAGCGTTCAAAACAATTTTTTGTATTACTAAGCAACTCGTCCAAAGCAGCGGCCTGACACTATAAAAATATAACAAAAAAACATGTATTTTTATTTAGCGCCAAAAAAAATTCTGAAAGTACTAAAAATAATATCAATCAATGCAAAACTTACCATATCTAAAGCATAATCATAGAGAATTTTATCGGCTGTAATGTTGAACGCATTAGCTTTTTGAAGCAAACCGGAACCATTCAATCTCTTAGACTCAAAGAGAATCGATCGATATTTAGAATTCATGGCCAACAAAGCTATAAAAAAGAAATACATTTTTAAACTTATATTAAAGTGGTATTCAACTATAAAAACATCATATTATATACGTCGATATACATATATGTATATACAAGTTGCATATATTTATAATATATTATTATTTGCTCACCATTCTTAACATTTGAAGAAGGTTTCAAGCTTCCGCTGCGTAGCTGGTGAGATGCTAAATTTAAGCCACTTGAGAGGAGCTGTAAAGCACGCACCAATAATACCAATCGTTCAGCTCGTTTGCAGTGTTCAGGTGCATGTGGCGGTATGGATTGTTGATCGTTTGATGTTCCACCCACAGCCATGACGGCTGAAAGAGGTGCGCAACGCGAGTCTGCAACTTCTTGTATACAATCAGTAAGAGCCAAAACAAAGTTCAACTTTGATAAAGTCTCATTATGTTCGCGGTCCAAAAGTGTTTCCTCCGATAATTCAGGTGCATGGAAAGTATGAAGTTGATTGCCATCTGTACCGGTAGCACGACTACTGGCTGTATCCAAAAGACTTTGCAAACCTCCTGTGGCACCGAGCTCGGGTAGTGTAAATGCACGCGGGCCCAATACGGGATGTTGGTTATTATTCTCTGAGCCACAAGAACCGGAGCCAATCGAATTGACAGAACCAGGTGCTACAATCAGCGTTGGGCTACCCAGTGTCGGCAATTTTGCCAATACAGAAGGAAGAATCGGTGAACTGTGACCTGATCGTCGTAGAGGGGATTGAGTCTGGGTACCTGGACTTACCTGCCAAGTACATGGAGCACTTGGTGGTGGTGTCTCCGATAGTGAACTACCCGACGCAGAACGGCGCCGGGCGGGCGGTGTACCAATAGCAAATTGAACCGCTGGTGGTGAAATGGAATTAATATCGCTGCTTACACTATTTTTACGATGTTCAGCGCGTTGTTTTACACTAATAGGCTGTGACCGCGGAAATTGTGTGACCACACTGGGCTGTTTAGGGGATGTTGCAATTACAATCTCGTTACAAATATTTGAACGTGGTCGTTGAACTTTATCACTATTAACCTTAGTACGACCCGCAGGCGACGCATTGCTTCCAGACGCAGTATCAGTGGTGTTTGACGAAAACCGACGAGCTGGAGCAGGAACTGGTTTGGGTTCAGATATTGGTAGACTGTTTGGTCGTAGTGGGTTTAATTGGTTTGCTGTTTGCGCAGCCTGGCATGCTGAGTGCCTAGTTTCAAGGAAAGAGTAACGTTTAGGTATATTTAATTTTCCATATGTACGTATTTCGTACTTCTTCTCATATTCAATGACATTTTGATCCTCTGGTAGATTCTTAGGCACCAGAACAAAATCATCTGAATCCTCTGGCGACCCAGACGAATCGCTGTTGTTTTCGCTGTCACAAAGCACCCCAACATTTGTAATGGTAGCACAGATAGCTGGATTTTCCGCAATCGAAACTAAAAATATATAATATATTATATGGAACGGCTTCTCTGGACACTTTTGGTCTAAGATACATAAATATATTTAATATATTTGATTTTTATATATTATATTTAAATATCACTTACCTGAGGTATTATCCGGTAGTACTGTAATAGCATCAACATTAGCCTCAGGAAGTTGCAGGGGCTTTTCATGCAGCTTTTGAGAACTTTTTGGTTTTACTGGAATATTATCCAAACTCATCTGCGGGGGCACATCACCTGAAATCATAACAAACATGCTCAGTACATATATATACATATAAATGTAATTGTATATATGAATATAACGTACTAGGTGTACCATATATAGGCGATTTCCCCTGTAAGAAACGATGACTGAAAAAACTCTCAAAAGAGATCCGATCCTTGGCATTGCGCCGCAACAAACACAACAGTAAATCTCGCAAGTCAGGTGAGACACCGCTTGGTATTCTGTTGAATAATATATAAGACTTATTAAATATATCGGCTGATGCAATGTTTTCTTTTCTGATTTACAATATTAAATACAAATACAGAATATTTATTTTATTGTTTTTCTTTCCAAATCCTTACTTTGGTGCCAAGTTGGCATTTTTTTCATAGTAACCCTTTAACTCATTAGGGGTTTGTGCAAAAAAAGGAGCTTTGCCAGTCAAACATTGGTAGACAATTGTACCCAGGGACCAGAGRTCAGCTTTAGCATCATATTGTAACGACATGATAACTTCAGGTGCCTAAAAAATTTAAAAGGATTTATGATCTATACAGTTTGATATAAAGTTTTGCTAATTACCATATACATTGGAGACCCACAAAGTGTTGCTGCCATAACGCCTTCATTCAGAAAACGTGCAAACCCGAAATCCGCTTTGTAGCCAATTAAAAAATGTAATATACAATAAATTAACGCAACCAAAAATTCTTTAATATAACTGATATTTTACCTATTTTCAGCGTGATTTTCGATGGCGTAGGCAAAGTTTTGCCATAATTGTGTGAAAGCAAAATATTTTGTGGCTTAAGATCACGGTGGACTATTCCTTTGGTATAAAGTGCTTTCATGGCACCGGCTGTAGAGAATCACATAATATGCACATTATTACAGGCCTTATTAAAATCGTTTATTTTTATACAACTTACCCAACTGTATAAGAAAGAGTCTGACTGTGTCTTCACTCAAAGTACCCTTAACCGTGAGGTAATCTGCTAAATCACCGCCATTACAGTACTGAAATTATTCAGAAGTATAACAAAGATAAATACACCGATTTGAAATATTTAATGAAGTATTGAAAACATCCTTCAATAAAACAAAAACACTCTATTCATATATATAAATAATAAAATTAAATCGACGAACACATCACAAAAGTCCGCAAAATAATTTTGGATGACCGTAGGATGCAGTTGTTCGAGATACTGTAATTGTAATTGTGAGACTCTAAAGATATCAAAAAAACGTGTTGAATATATTGTGAATAAAAATTTGGATATGCGAAAGCTCTGTACAATCCTTCAAAAACAAAACAATGAGTTGAGCTGTCGGCAGTCAGTCGAATGGAAAAAATGTACGACCCCTATAATCAAAGTATTACGCCCTCGAAGATAACTATATTGAATAATAAAATCAAATTTCATCAAAAAAATTATTCCTACGCTAGCCTACGACTTTTCAGCACACCTGTTATACAGATGTACATATACCAGTATATATTCGAAACAGAATTGACAAGTCTGCATGCTATGAAGAAGCTACGTTTGTAGATTGAGTTTAATAGAGAAGTGGAGGTTTCTTCCAAATTATTTTTAATTTCTTTCTTTCTCTCTCTCACTCTCTCTCCCCCTCTAGCTCTCTTACTCTCTCCATGTTGCCCTTGTTTATGAAGAACTTCTCAAATTGGTCAGTATTAAAAAGCTTGCATAGCAAAATCAGTGAATACTTTGCGCTCAAATGGAACTGTTGATATTTGTTTGCTGTAACTTCCAGCAGCGTGCATGATTTTTAACTTCAGACATCCATACATATATGCATACAGATATATGGCTGGGTTGAAATGACATTCAGTCGTTCGAAAAACATCGAATTCATCACTGGATGGATGAAATCCATCTGATCACTTTCATTTCGGTAACAAAAATCGGTAGGGCTACATTGACTGTGGCATAATAAAAAATTTAGTAGTGCAAAAGCTATACTGAAAACACAAATAATATAAAAAAATGTTTTAGAAGAAATGTGTAATTCAATTCAGCGGAGAGTGGCATAATACAATATACTAGTATAAATGCTTATACGAACATAGCTGCATGCATACATTAAAAAGTGCTACTCCAAACAATTAAACAGAACATGTATATACTATACATGCATATGAATATATCTAAATTAGAAAAAATCCTTAATCGAATCACTTGAATCGTTCAAAGGTTAACATTTTGTGATCGACAGCGTAATGGCGATAATATAAGCAGCCCATACAAACAGTGCACGATTGCTTCGAGTACAAATGTACACTTACATATGTACATATGTGCGTACGTGTATGATACATTCTCGGCTTAGTAATCAAGTGAAGCAATAGTAATTTATAAAAAAAAAATAAGAATAAACCCCTTTGTCATGCATATTTTATATTTTAAAACTAATCTTACAATTTTCCTCTATTTGCCGGTTTTAGCTTAAAAGTTTACTTACTATAAGTTCATATATGAATGTAAATAATTAACTTCAAGTATTTCACAGATTAAAAAAATAATAACTTGAAGGAATTAAAAAATAAAGACACAAAAAGTTTGTGCACAGGTGTCGAATCGTATCATGTAAACAGTGATCACACATACATACAGTACATACTTCTTCGCTCTCTAAATCTTGAAAAATGCTTCAGAATAATCAATTAATATGCCTAACATTTTCTTAATGCGAGTTGGAACTAAATAGACATTTGTTTAAATGTTTATGTTTTCTAATTTAGGAATTATAACTTTAGTGATGACTGAAAAAAAAAAAATATTAATTTCTAAATTAAACTTACAACATTATTCAATTAAATTTGAATCAGTGATCGCACGCAAAGTATATTATAGAAATGTAACAATATGATTGCTGAAAAGCCTACTGATTGTTATATATTTTTCATATTCTTAATCTACTAATCTATGTATCTTAAATTAAACAAAACAAAAACAAACAAGCTTTAAGTGACTGGAAATACGTATCCTGCCGTAACTAATCTTGCCACACTCAAGAAAAATGCACATTTATTACAAGTTTGGATTGTGCCTGATATTCATACTCAGCATAAGGTAAAACTGATAATATTATACTGTACATGTTATAAAAAATATTGTAAAATGTGCTAGAAATGTATATCAAGGGTATATATTAAAAACTCAGTTTCTTTCTACTTGTTATCTAAGTTATAGACGCCAATAAGGCAACGAATACGTATAACTTTATGAGCATATAGCAGAATCGATCAAAGTCGGCAGGTTCTAAAGTGCAAAGTACTCTTACTCAGAGTATTTGATTAAAACTACAATATCTAAAATTACCAAATTGATGGTACGCAAATATGTATATACATGTATTACGTATTTTCCGAACCCGTTGAATGAATTTATCATAATTATAAATTTATTTGTGCTAATTACTGATAACTGAACATTCGGTAGAATAACGAAATTTGGTGTTTATGATGTTTATACTTATCAGAAGCGTAGTTATTTTAATTTATTAAATAAGAAGTTGAATGAAATTAACAAAAAGAAGGTAATTTATTTTATGTAAAAATATTTTCGTAATTATCTAATGTACTTAATATTCGGATACCTAAATTTATGCAATTACTATATTTTTGGTTTAATAACGCTCATAATACTAAATAAAACTGATTTGTTTACAATCTACATACAAACATATACTAGATGATAACTGTATAATTATTTACTTTTATACTACTTATATATGTAGTATGTAGATATGTACTATTTTAAAACTGGAGACAGTAAATATCTAGTAAAAAGAAATCAAATAAAGTTTTTGTATTTACTTAAGCATACCAAATTAAAATACTTATATATATGTATGTATTGTTCTTGTCTCGAATTATTAGTGCGTCCTTTACAAAAGCAGCTCCATCAAACGTGTCTTATGACAATAACGTCGATTATTATGAGGAATACTATGATGAGAATGGTCTAGAGCAAAAAGATAACCTAACAGTTAACACCACTGATATGGAAAGCGTAAATTCGACAATTAGAACTATTATCGTTATTCCAACAACAAAAAGGATATTAGTTTCATTAAACAATTATACAACTAGCAGTCAAGTGGTGGAGCCTAAGTGTCCAAAAGACTGCCACTGCTTGGATAACTTTAAGCGCATACTGTGTAATGGCCTTGGTTTGACGAGCGTGCCAAAAAACCTTCCAACTACAACACTATTCATCGATTTAAGCCAAAACAATATTGGGGAACTACATATTGAAGATTTCGTAAACATTTCTAAAGTTCGTGAAATCAATTTAAGTTATAATCAACTACAATTTTTTGATAAATCGGTAATTTATTAAACCAATTGGTATTTTTAGCGATTACTATAATAAAATATTATTTTTCAGATATTTGACAGCTTAATTAATTTACAAAGACTTCAGCTAACAGATAACAAACTAAGACAAATTGAGCCAGCAACTTTCTCAGGCACAAGTAATCTAATTGATCTGGATTTAAGTAACAATCCTATATTGTTAAAAAACGATGGCCCATTCCTCATTCGACCTGGCTTAATTAAATTTGCTTGTCGTAATTGCAGTTGGTATGAATTCTCTGATGATACATTCTCAGGATTAGCCAGTTTGCAGTCTCTAAAATTGGATTTAAATAATTTTGATAAGGTGTGTAAAATGCTCCGTATTGTTGTATATAGGCATTTTGCCTTAGAAACAAAAATTGTGATGTCTAAGTATATAAGGAAATTATTTATATGCAAATATATGCATGTACATAGATCTGGTATAAATATAAAATAACTTCGCTTTTAGAGCTTACCCACCTCAAAGCTCTTATCATATGTTAATTGACGTTCTCTGTTCCATTGTCATTCTGACAGAAAATCAATGTTAAAGCTTTTTCACCGCTGCAGAATGTTACTAGATTGTGGTTGCCTGATTTGGAAGCAGAGAGTGTAACAAAACTGTGTAATTTATTAACAGCTATTGACAATATAAAGTTCGGGCACTTTGAAATCAGTTGCTTTGAATTAGTACTAGGCACTTCCTTTAATGATAGTATTGTGATAACGGATCCACCATTCATTCAAACGGAAATACCACGAGTACGTAATGAAGTACCACAATTAGCAGTTACTGGTGGTTCGGTGCAAGTAAAGGAAACAAATGAAGAAATCAGTACTAAGATTAAATCTGCGAATGTGACTACTAAAATACCAACAACGAAAACAAAATCGTCAAATCCAAAAGAGATCAAAATAGAAGGTAAGGGTACTAAAAGTGAAAATGCATTAAATTATATTGTATTGAGTCTTAGAAAATAAAATGGAAGGTATCAATGTCCACTCAAACTTCACAAATTCTACGACTGCGAGTAGAATGGAAGATGATATTAACATTAAGAAAATGTCGGTCATACTAACAGGAAACGCTTCAACTATCTTAAATAATATAGCAAATACCAGTATCGAGCAAAACGAAATAACAACTTCGGTTAAAACAAATAACACCGTCACAGGACATATATCCCAATATATGGTCAACATACTGCTTATATGTAAGTAGTAATTAATCAAATACACATTTATTATATTCAAACCTTTTCAGGTATTATTATTATAGCAATTGTTGGCATTATCATTGGTATAATTTGCCGAAAGGATGTTGGTGGAATCAAAACTAAATGTTGTCGAACAAAGAAACCGGATCCAAAAGATCAAGTACATCCCCCCGAAGAAATTCCACTAAATAAACTATCATAAGTACAGGGCTTAATCAATTAGAAACATTTCTTAATTTTTAATTAATTA